CCCCAAAACCCCAAAACCCCAAAACCCCATTGTGCCAATTTTATTATTATGTTGAGATTATATAAAATTATTATAATTAGGTATTTGATATTATTTTGATGTTAAATTTAATATTTAGAAAAACCTATTATACAAATATGATAAAACTTTCCTTCAATTACTATCTATAAAATTAGATACTTTTCGCGACTTTTTTCATATTGCTTCTTAATGATAATGTAATGGGTTAGTTTTGTAAATTTACCACTAAAATAAACATGACAAGTTTAAATCACTTCGTAAGATATGATGATAAATTGCATAACTTGCTGATGAATTATACAAATCAGACTATTGATCTTAACACCCGAGTTAATGTAGGCAGCTTCAAATTTAACTTGAAAAGAATCGAATTCTTACTTAATACCGCCAATTTTTAAAGTTTTCATTTAAGTGCTGATTAAAAATCATAATCAGTAAAAGTAAAGACTCCTACATTTGATAAAATTGAATTGTGAGCAAATATTTCTTTCAAATTTTTAGATATATCACTCTATGAAGGAATCATTCAGCTATCAATAGACAAGTTTAATATTTTAGCAAACATTTCAATAGCTACAAAAGAAAATGCACTTTAATAAAAGCGGATTCTAACACTGCAGCTCAGATAAATTGAAGCTGTGTTCCATGATTTTAGGGTCACAGCATTTAACTAAACATATTAGCCTATTTTTGAAAATATATTCACTGACTCTTATCAATTGCTTGACTCAAACACACATTAAATACTGAGGACTCTCACATCTAATACATTTTTTTTAGCTTAGGAAATATTTAAATTCTTGCCAATTGTTGCTGATTTTTACAATTATTTTGGCATTCCTATACCTCTATATTCATCTGAATAAAAATATACTTCTTAGTATAGCTTTTATATGAAACTTGGATAATTTTACTAATCTTTTTTCTTTAACTACTTGAATTTTTTTACCATTATTGATGAACTCTAAGTAGACGAAGACATTTTGCGCATCGGTACGTCTTAATATGAGCAATTGCAATTTTATCAAACTATAAAATTTGTAGAAATCAATACAAATTGCTTTGATGTTACTCTTACAGATTTGCTTTCTTAAGCTACATCTAGGAACTATTTAGAGCTAGATATTGGAAATAGATATTACAATCTAGTCAAACTTTACCTATCAACTGCTTATTATTATGATTTGTATCCACATTTATTTAAGTTCTATAAGCTCAGAGAGATTTATTCATATATCAAAGTTGAATCAATTACTGTAAGAAAGTTTTCAAATCTTGATACTTATCGAATAAGTGTTAATGTTTTAAAGCAAGATTCTATAAATATATTACCAAATTAGCCTTAAAATCCATATTTATAAAAACAATTAGAAGAAACTGGTAGTATTTTAATCGAAGCTGGTTATTAATTATAGAATTCAACTGTGTAATTCTCAGTTTCTAGTCTACGATTGGTTTAATGGAATCAAACATATAAAATGTTCAATAACTTGACTGTAGACAATGAGACTCAAAGATTAATCATGTAAAAAAGTCTAGACCTTGTACAAGAAAATCTAAATGTATTCTTCTTGCAAAATGTTTACACTCTGAAATCAGTTATGGCAGAAGGTACTCCTCTCTATTAGTTTTTGAATTAATTCAATGTTTCGGCAGCCTCTACTAGATTTATAATTGATATAAATAAAGAAAGCTAAAAATAAATCTAGCAAAATGCTATTAAGTCTCATGATAAAATACTGCTTTTTAGTCCTAGTGTGCTTCAAAATAGAACTCATAATTGTGTTGGAAATAGAGATTAATACAAATTTCCTGACCACATTTATATTACTAACACTTAAATACTTGAAAGGATTTATTTAGCATCATAAAACTTAGCAACTAATTACTCTTCTACTTTTTACTACTTCTAGAAAGGTAGCTGGTTTGCTTTCTAAGTAATGATCTCAAATATGAGAATATTAAAACTGATTAAGAGATTGCCAAGGAATGCAACCAATAATATGTTCTATATGTAAACAAGAGCATTTATAGAAAATAAAGTTTTTAATCCTGATGAGCTCTTATTTTCATCCACACTTAAGCATAGAAATCAATGGTTTTGGACTTCGATTAGAGGTTCAGACGACAATGGATGGGCGGCATTAGCATTACTCTATGCTGCTGACATAGACCTAGCTTTTAAAGAAAGCTATCTTAATTATACTGGATAGTATTATGAACTAGGTGTTAGACAAATTCTAAATAAAATAAACGAAGTATATCGAGATTAAAATGGAAATGTATTTTGGCTTGAATCAAGAGATCCTTACTATTCCTCTATTTCTACCACACTTACAATAATTCTGAACTAAAGAATGTACTTGCTGACAAATGAGACTAAATTCTTGAATCAAAGCCTATTTGATTATAAATACATCATTGACAGACCTTATCTTTTTAACCATGAAAGTCTTCTAATGGATGGCTCTAATTTAGATTTATCCTATTTCGATGAATCAGTATATTCCTATACTCAGGGTGCACTGATCATTATTTATGGTCATTTTTACCAAATTTACAAAGACTAGAAGTACCTAAAGTTAGGAATAAGACATGCAAAGAATATGATAACTTAAAGGTCTAATAAAAACTTAATCATCATTGAGGGTGATAAGAATCCATAATATTTTATGGGAATTTACTTCAGATTTCTTAGTGAATTTGCAGAAATCGCC